CACAACAAAGGATGCGATAGTACATCGTCAAGGGAAAGCCTGCAATATAATTGGCTATTTCGATTAAAGAAGACAAGGAGGGATGGAAGAAAATAACAAAATAACAAATTTAGATTCATTATCTTTTTGGATTCAGATTAAGCAAGCTAGATAACAAGTTTCGAATCTCACGAGAGACATGCAGACGCTTTAACTTCGTAGCAATAAGAGCATTTAAGCCCACCCCAGAACCTTCCAAAGTCTTCGTATACTCCTCAGTCGAATAAGGCATCGACTCGCCCGTTACAGTCGTCCATAACGTGAGGCCAACACAATAGGCATCTGCCTTTGGATAATCATCGAGGGGCGAATAATCAAGTTCCTCTGGAGCTTTATATCTATTTAACAAATAAAATATGAATTAACATGTGATGTGAAAAAAATGTAATCTACAAATAAAAAACTGCAAATAAAAACTTACCACTGTCATGCGCTAGGAAGAGGTAATTGAGCTTTATATGATTGTTTTCATAGAAAATATCATTCGACCTGAAGAACATTGTTGGGCACCCACAGTCATGCAACACCTTCAAAGTTCTTACAAGTTCCCTACATTAAATATATAAATATTATCATTCCTTAGTTTAAGGAATAAAGAATGAAATATAATGAAAAAAACTTATACCATATAAGTTTCCTAAGAGCTGTAGTCGGGTGTCCTAGTTTCATGCGTTCCCACTTTGTATTATACCAAGTATCCTCATAGAGATACACATTCGATTTCGCTCTTGTGGCCACGGAATCAGAAAAAAATTTTGTGGAGCGATATATGCATATTCATCATTTGAAGGAATCTGGCAGGGAACTGGATTGTTCGTGATCCTTCAAATGATGAATATGCATATATCGCTCCACAAAAATTTTCTGATTCCGTGGCCACAAGAGCGAAATCGAATGTGTATCTCATAGATACTTGGTATAATACAAAGTGGGAACGCATGAAACTAGGACACCCGACTACAGCTCTTAGGAAGCTTATATGGTATAAGTTTTTTTCATTATATTTCATTCTTTATTTCTTAAATTAAGGAATAATAATATTTATATATTTTATGTAAGGTACTTGTAAGAACCTTGAACGTGTTGCATGACCGCGGGTGCCCAACAGTATTCTTTAGGTCGAATGGTGTCCGCTATGAAAGCAACCATATAAAGCTCAATTACCTCTTCCCAACGTATGACAGTGGTAAGTTTTTATTTGTAATTTACATTTCTCATATCACATGTTATTCATATTTTTATTTGTTAAATAGATATCAAAGCTCCAGAAGAGCTTAATTATTCGACCCTCGATAATTATCCAAAGGCAGATGCCTATCGTGTTGGCCTCACGTTATGGACGGCTGTAACGGGCGAGTCGATGCCTTATTCTAGGAGTATACGAAGGCTTTGGAAGATAAGGTTCTGGGGCGGGCTTAAATGCTCTTCTTGCTGCGAAGTTAAAGCCTCTGCATGTCTCTCATGAAATTCAAAACTTATTATCTAGCTTGCTTACTCTGAGCCCAAAAAGGTAATGAAGCTAAATTTGTTATTTTCTTTCATTGTCTTCTTTGATCGAAATAGTCAATTATATTGTAGGCTTTCCCTTGACGATGTTCTGTCGCATATTCTTTGTTGTGGAGAGATGAGCGGAAAATTGACTTTTTATGTTCAGTGGCTAACATTCTTGAAGTGCCTCGAGTCAGTGAAGATGTGAAAAAAAGAGGGCCAGAGTAAAACTTCAAAGTTGTGATTTCATGAAGAAAAATAAGGTTTCTTATTTACTATCAGCGGGAAGGAAATCGACCAGTAAACAAGGACGGTTAGGTAATACGCATGGAGCACATGGACTATGATTTCTTTGCGTCAAGGTGGTAAATACTACCCGAAGAGATTCATAGAGTTGTTGAGACTCTTCCGGAATAGCAATGCATATCACGCCGAGTTGGATGTGGGGATGAGGGCCACACTGAAGAAGTTGGGGGATTTTATTTTTCCATCATTTTTTATGATGGTGTACGAGGATGTTGTTAACAACGGTGGCTCTTGGGCTCTTGGTTTTCGTCCCTCCAAGGTTTAATCAGGTTTGTTTCAAATTTGTTTGTTGTTTCTTCTTCTTCTTATTTTTTTTCCTTTGACATATATCTACAAAATTTTTGTTTCTTCTCCTCTTTTTTTCTTTCCTTTTTACATAATTAATATTGTCTACATTTGCAGCGATAAGGTGGAGTATATTTTCAAAAATATACACGTTTTCCCATGCATATTTTCATGCATAACCGACCTCAATAATCAGACCAAAAACTGAGAGAAAATTGAGAGAAAAATATACGACAATTGTGGAAGATAACTTAAGACAAAGGGAGCACACACGAATTGTGGAAGATAACTTAAGACAAATGGAGCACACACGCATGAGCACTTGAGTACCGAACAAGCACGCAAGTCGTCGTGCATTTCATGAGCAATTCAAGGGGTACATTCCTTTTTACTCTCTTTTTATGTATTTAAGTTGATACTAGTAAGATCATGTCAGTATCATGTCGTTCGGTCCAAGTTTTAGGTCATAATGCCCTCGGAAGTGCCATTTAGGCCATCTCCGAGTCATGTCAAGATTTAACCGAACACTCCCGAGCAATTATTGTATTTTTAGTCATTTCACGTCATTTTATGATCAGTCATATGGGAGTTGCCGGAAAAAGTTACCTTATTTATTAACAATTATTTAAGTACACCTTAGTTTAATGTTAATGATAATTAATTTAAGAATAATCATGCTTAAGAATAATCATGCTTAGTTAGTATTAATTGTGCTTAGTTTAGCACTAATTGTGCTTAACTTGCCTAAGAGTTTTCACGTAATCATGCTTAGTTAGTATTAATTGTGCTTAGTTTAGCACTAATTGTGCTTAACTTGTCTAAGAGTTTTCACGTGAAAATATCATCATGAACATCAGCTAGATGGCTTCTTTTTAAATGCCAAGGAATGACTAAGCCTTTTATTAGATGAGTAAGCAAGCTCCATGCCACCTAGGCAATTAAGCTCACGGCAAGTGTAGCAATATCATTGGCCGAAGTTTCATCTCCCAATATTCATATATATATTCATGCTTAATTTTCACCGTCCATCTTATGATTTAAACCTTTCTTACCTCCCTCTCTTATTCCGACTCGAGAGCATACCTTCTCATCATTGTCACAAAACACAATTTCACCCCACACCCACATACCAATCAAAATCACTCCGAATCTATTCCCAATTTCCCACAATTTCATACTCCATTACAATAATCTACACTTCCACACAAAAACTCTCCCCGTTTAACACAATTTCTCTATCTCTCTCTCTCTCTTCTCTCTCTCACACAAACACAGACACACACACACACACACACACGCACAGAAAAAAAAAAAAAAAAAAAGCATGGAAGTTGGACCATTTACCCTTCATATAACATGGATCATTAACTAGCTTACAGTTATGCAATTTTCTAATTTAGTGCCTGCCACATCGAGGTTAAGAAAGAAGTTCTGAGCAAGTATGGTTTATCTAGATCACCAGATATGAGTCAATTCATTGATCTTCGAGTTTTGAATAGGATTGGTTACATAAAAGACCTGTGAGATTTAGTTCCAACTGCCAAGTATATTTTTTCACAAATTGTGTCCCTCCATTGGTTTCTTGCAATGCCAGCAGAGTTATTTATGTCTGCAAATATTGGAAAATTTATGTTTTGGTTTATTCAATTCAAATCTCACCAGTTGATTTTATAGCCTGGCCTACATTTTAAAAAAAACAAGATTTGCTTCTTTCGTGTATTTGCAGAAAAGACCCGTATGAACTCTGAAGAGAAAGACCATAGCGTCATTCTTGAAAAGATGTCTGCCCCCGTCTGGAATCTCTGGAATCACTGTAAATGTAAGGGTTTTTTGGCCCAAAGAGTTGCAAACTTGATTGAATGCATTGTTATGTAGTAAGACAAATTGGGTATCTCTTCTGTTTTTTGTTTCCACTTACTACCATAAAAACTAGTGGACAAAATCAAGTTGGGGTTCTGTTATGTAGAATTAACTATTGCATGGCTATTATTGTTATGACTCAATTAACTATTACAATCTACGCTATATTTATTTCATCCTCTGTTAGGTTTGGTACATCTATCTCCTCCTCTGTTAGGTTTGGCATTGGCAGTCTTGTTTAAAACGGCCATACAACACTTGGCCCTACTTTAACTCATAATGTACTAGAAATATGCAACATTGAAAAGGAACTTGATTTGGCGAATATCAAAAGGACAAGTTTGCTTGGTCGTGGAGGAGAGTTACGTTTTTGAGGGCGCTATGAAGATGCCTACTCCTTGTAAATTTGATTTTGTGAATCAATTCTTAATTGAGAATGATGAGAAGATGCCTACTTCTTTCATTAATGAATTTAGTCCTATTCATGGGCAATGATTAATTTCATGGTGTTTGCTTATTTTTTTTTTTCAATCTCGATAAGTTCAGTAATATTATTGGCACCATTTACTTGAAGCAATATAAATCTGGCACCATTTACTTGAAGCAATATAAATCTGACCATTCGTAGAACAACACAAATTGGATTGTCGTGTTAAGTTTGGTTGAGAAGTGACACTGGACTCAATATGATCATTTAAAACAAACAAGGCCTTGGGCTACAAACAAGTGGTAAAAAAACCGCCACCACCAGATATGTTTGATTTAAGGTGTAAATCAAGTAAACAAGAAAATATAAAGATGTCTCCATAAACTAACGGAAGGCCAAGCAGAAACAGACTCAAGTTTCCTCGTGCTAAGCATCACTTACCTTTTGGATAAAACCAGCAAACACGAACATACTATAAAACGATCAAATACCAAACTGTAAAACGTACATTTCTGAAGATTTAACTAAAATCCCCAACAAGCCATGTGTACATTTCTGAAGATTTAACTAAAATCCCCAACAAGCCATCTTTACCTCATTCTTCATCTTCATCTTCATCTTTATCTTTATCTTTATCTTGAGCATTGTCACTAGCCAGGGCAAGTCGAGCTTGGTCAATGCGCCCTTTCCAGTAAGTAATTCTTAATCCATTTGCAATCGACAAAACATGTTCAAAGCAATCAAGGACATTACTACAAGGCTGACGATGTGGATCACAACTCATTATATTATCATTCAGAGTACGGTTGCTCGGTAATCTGTACCCAAAACAAATTAGATCGAGGATAGCATCAATAGCATTTATATACTTTCCTCTATTAAGGGAAATGTGTGTCTCCAGAAAGAAGGAGTAGATTTTCTGAATATAAATATATTCTCCTTTCCTTCCCCATTCATGGGCACAATCTGGGGAGAGTACAAACTCAAAGAGTTCATCGAGCTTCTTCTGATCAAATCCCAGAGTCTTGTAAAGAACTCTCAGGTATATCCATGGAAGACCATTTTCCGGTTCCTTTTTAATAGCCTCTATAGCATAATCAGATTCCTCCTCACCGGATCTCATTCGCAGTTTTGTCACCAAGAAGGTTCTCTAAAAACAAGACAAGGTTGCATTATTCAGATGTCGAGTTGAAGGTAACAACACAAAGAATTACTATTTATTTAGAATTTTGCATATCAACATTACAAGCATTCAGAATAGAACCATAATATTGAACGGGATTGAATCTGAGTACCATAGTTGATAAAAGAACATGTAGTCAAGTCATGTAGATCCATTAACTAAGATTACTAAACTATATGAGGATGTCAAAATGCAACAAAAGTGAATCAAATGCCGTTTAAAACACACTGGGATGTGACATGTTTACGAAGAATGAATTTAAAGGGGGGAAAAAACACTAAAGTGAATAGTCATTTTTCAAAACCACAGATTCATAGTGATTAAACGAGCAAGCCAATTATGAAATGAAACAAACTCGTCTCAATCACAAAGAGACGAGTAAACACACATAATGAAGTGAAACAAAACTCAGTCAATGAGAACATGAATAGTCCCACTAGAATACAATACAAATACCAAACACAAATTATGTTAGAGCAATTTCTGACCAAAACAATCATATAACAGTCTCATTCGCTTATAGCACAATACCAAAATAATCATCTTGCATAATTTCTTTTATATACTTTGTATATCAATTCTCGGTTTGAAATACACTATAAACTTTGCACGCATAATAAAATACTATGGGGATTGCGTGTGAATTGCTTTAACTAGAGTTTGTCATTAAACTATTGGTGGGAGATATACTCACCTCACACCAAGCGAACTTATTATGGGTGCGACCTTTGAGTTCGAACTCTACGTCAGAAAATTCAATTTTTCCCATTCCTGCATGAAATGCCTCTAGAAGCCACTGCATCATAGTGCACTTTCACTAGTTAAAAATTAAACCATAAGATATAAAAGATGTACACTTTCCTTTACCAGTTACCTTTCTATAGGACCAGCAATGCAGGCTTTTCGGGTGTATACATAGAAACTCCTTTGTGAAATGAAGTTCAGAGAACACTCTTGCAGCATCAATCCTACTCCCAATGAACTTCTTTCTTCTCTGCCTATAGACAAAACAATAGTTGGGGACACTAAGAGAGAGACTGTGAAGACGAAAACAACAATTCGAACATTGATCTAATTTGTTTGATGATACTCATGTATGGAAAGAGAAATAAATTAGTACAACCTTAGCATTAACAACCAACAAGAAATCAATTCAGTTGCTTACCATCTCTATAGTTTGACTATTAATCGAAACTAAAAGTGTCGCTCAACAGGACATAACGAATGTATGTATGCATACGCAGCAACGGCTTACCACAATTTAGGATCATTAGGGTTGCTTTTAATAAGATGTTCATATGATTCCAACTGAAGACGAAAATCGTAAGGGGATTCCAATTCCTGTGAGTATTTTTCACATCGTTTAACACATAATGAAACCCAATAACAATTTAGTTTACACATGAGAATATGAGATGTGTATACCGTATCATTCGTCAGCTCGGACTCTGCCGGCGGCGCTCGCCGTGACTGGAAAGGACGTGCCACGTGTTTCCGATCAACAATATTCGGCGGCAAGGCTTTGAGACGGAGAGCAGCAAGTACTCCCTTAGGTAATTCGTCCTCCCGTCGACGACTCGCCGTTTGCCTCATTGTTGCTTAATGTCGACCCATAATGCCGGGTGATATATTTGTTAAGAAGTTAAATAATTCGTATTTTTAGTGTCAAATTATGAATATGGAATCCCCTCCCCTATATATTAATCCAGAACGCGCTGAGCCTACGTGGCTGCTTCTGGTGCTTCGAAATCTTATGTGGCAAAATTACATGCTTGGGCTTAGGTAAATTTTAATTTAATTCCAAACCAAAAATAACTAGGTTCGGATTATTATAAATACTAGTACAGTTCCCGTGCGATGCACGGGGGTTAATTATCTTCGTCCCTTTTGAAAAGCAATTTTTAATTACAATTTAAAGTGCTTACTTACAAAAAAACAAAAACTTATCTAAAAATGTAAAATGTAAGGATTATTAGAAAAGTACAAAAAAACAAAAAAAAAAAAATATATATTATTTAACACTTCCTTATATACATTGTTTATAGTTTGATTCTTTGGCACGTCATCTTCGCCACAAATTAAGATTTTCAAACCAATTCTGTTTGTGACATGAGAGACAACAACATACAACTGACATGACTAAACACTGGTTCTTAAGAAATAAGCCCACATGCGATAATGATTGACCATGACTCTTATTTATAGTCATGGCATAAGAGACCATAAGGGAAAACTTATTAATTGTCTAAGGGTAAATAACTTTTTCCCATCCAAACTATCGCGATTTTCGCGGATTACCATATTAACTATTTTCTTTTACAAACAACCATAAAAACTCCACATTTATTTCGTCTTGCCCCCTACACCGGCTTTAAAGTGGTTTTGTCTAAAAAAAAGCTGATTTCTAAGGGTATTTTAAGATTTTTATATTTCCTTAAAAAAAATTGAGAAACACAAAATTTTAGATTAGAAACAGTAGCTCAAGATTCAATCTTTACAAATCTGCCAGATCTCATCCCTAACATACTATCTAATCTGATTTAGAAGGGTTTCAATTTGTAGAATTCTGATCGAGATTGGTCCTCTCACATGCGCCACCAAATCAGGAGCTTCTGAGCAATCGGAATATATACGCACACATATACATATACTCTGTCAGTCAATCATTTCTATCTTCATCATATTTTCCCTAGCAACAACTCCGATGGCTTCTATGGCGTCGTATTGGTGCTAGCAGTGAACTGTGACCATTTCTCTCACCTCCGATGGCCCTGTCGTCTGCCCCCACTGCCACGGCAGATTCGTACAAGCCGTGGACCCTTCGGATTTCTCCCTGCGCCCGTTTGCGGTGGTCAGCGGCCGCCGCCGCCGCCGCCACCGCCGTCGGAACGACTCCTCCTTCAATCCCGTAATCGCCCCCTGCCTCCCGCCAGAGGACCTTCGATTTGTACTACGATGGGGGATCGGGCCAGGGTCTACGCCCCCTGCCTCCCGCCATGTCCGAGACCCTACTTGGATCCGGAGTATCGACGGTAAGTCACAGGGGAACTTGAATGTGCTGGAGTTCTTCGAGGTCCTGGCGCTGGTGGCGTCGATGCTCCTACCGGCGAGGTCACCGTACACGGAGAAGCTAGCAGCTGAAGCATCTCTTCAAGATGTTCGACGGGGACGCCAACGGGTACATCACGATGACTGATTACCACCACTCGACCGCCATTAACACCAACACCACCACCTCCCTTGCCCCCATACTCCTTATGTTCATCCTCATGTTCAGTAGAGTTAGTGTTTCAGAAATTAGAAATTAGGGTTTCAGAAATTAGATATTAGTAATTGAGAATTTGACAAAAAATAGGGGTTAGTTTGTTATATTTAAAAAATCTACAAATTATGATTTGGTCCTTTGGGTACATTTTGCAATATTTAAAAATTTGTAATTCCTAAAATGCCCTTTTAAATCAACTTTTTTGGTACAAAACCACTTTACATACGGTTTTGGTGGGCAAAGTGAAAAAAATATTTAGTATATGTGGTTGTTTGCAAACCAAAAAAGTTTATACTGCAGAGCGCAAAAATCGCGATAGTTTGGATGGGTAAAAGTTTTTTACCCATTGTCTAACAAAGTTTTCACACTGATTTGTAGTTATGATTAGATAATTCTTATTGCTAGTTATTAATTTTTGTTGACAATTAATTCACACTGACTTTGTTGACATTTTGTTGACAATTTCACACTGCTAGTACAGTGCCCTTGCGATGCACGGGTGTTTATTATCTCCGTCCCTTTTATAAAGGATGTCCAGTTAAAATTCAAATTACTTACTAAATGAAAGAACATGCCATTAATAATTAATAAATTAATAAATATAATGAAAATAAAATCTATATACTATCTTCCTTATATCAATGTTAATGGTTTGATTATTTGGCACGCTATCATCGCCACAAAATAGGATTTTCAAACCATTTCTGTTTGTGACACGGGAGACAACAACATACAACTGGTCATGACTAAATATTGGTTTCTTATGAAATAAGCCCACATGTTATAACTATTGTCACTATCTCGTATTTATAGTCATGGTAAGAAACCATCTTTTGCATATGAACACCACGAATTATACCAGTTATGCGGCTCACCTAAGAAACAAAGAAAATAAGTAAAGACACAAATTAACCAATACCGTAATTGAAAAAATAAGTAAGCAACAATAAAATAACCTCATCATCGTGGAAAACAATCTCCAAATAGTTTCGATATGCGGCATCATACAATATCTCGAATATACGAATGGCTCGAAGTTTTATCACGAGTCTCCTATTGATGAATCCAAAAGATTGGTCCATGTCTTTTGGTTTTTTGGTTTGTATGTGGGTGCTAGTTATTTCTGGATGATATGAGAACTATATGAATCACCCTATGGTGGAGGTATTCATAGTTTAATTATTGGATTTTTAAAGTAATGCTTTTTTAATTTTTGCCAACTTACAAAGAATAAATCTATATTTAGTATATTAATATTTAATTGTAAACGATTTGATTTTGATTAATAATAAAAAATGTGTGATAATATATTATTTACATAACAAAATATTTGTGCTCCTAACATTCAATTCGATCTTATCACACACATATATATATATATATATATATAAATATATAGTATCAATTCTTGATTAGTTACTTGGTTTGTAGATTTATATTTATGACACCAAATATTTTGAAGATTGTGGAGTCTAAGAATTTTTCAAATATTGGAATAATATTAGGCACAATATATATTCTATATTCGTTACACAATGATTTGTTTAATATTCGTAAGTATGCTAAATCAGATTGCGTTTGATTATATTCCTAGTAACAACCATTAAAAATTATTATATTCCAGTTAATTATATATTTTATAGATATATACATATAACAATCATTAGCAATTACAAACTGATCTCATTTGTTTATGGTTTAAAATAATATATCCACACAAATATATAGCTTATTAAAAACCATCATCCCATAGGAAATTATAAGAGTTTTAATGTAACTCTTTTAACAAAATGTTTGTGCTTTTAACATGCAATTCAATTTTAAGCCAAATATATAGTATCGATTGTTTGATAAGTTACTTGGTTTTAAATTTATATTTTTAACAACAAAATATTTTGTACATTGTGGAGTCTAAAATGTTTACAAATTTTGGAATAATATTTGGCTCGATATATTATTGTCACAAAATGACTTGTTTAATTTTCGTAATTATACTAAAGGAAAACTACGGTCCCGTTACGGAACCTTCCCGTCGGAAGTTATAACGTTTGGATACACAAGTAGTTAGTATAAGATAGATGATCTAATGGTTAAAACACCCGACGTGATGATTTCGGAACGGGAATATAGCATTAAACTAAATCATATTTTTATTTGATTATATTCGTAGTAACAACCATTACATTTTTGTTTGATTATATTTGATTAGTTATATATTTAATAGATATGTACTTGTAACAACCATTAGAATTTTGGATAGTATGGATTGTAAGAATCATTAAAATATTGGTATAAGATTTGAATTTGAAACTGAATTCAAATATTTATTTGGAACACCCATATAATATATCCACACAAAATATATAGCGTATTAACAATTATTGTCCCAAAGGAAATTATAAAAGCTTTAATGTAATACTATTTTAACAATTTAGTTGTGCCTATAACATGCAATTTGATTTTAAGCCAAGTATATAGTATATGTTGTTTGATTAGTTACTTGGTTTGTACATTTATACTTTTAACAACTTAATATTTTGTAAAATGTGGAATTAATCCGATTAGTTATATATTCCTAGTAACAAACATTCCAATGAGTCGTTTGATTATAATGCAATTAGTTATATATTTTATAGATATATACATGTAATAACCATTAGAATTTCGAATATTATGGATTCTAAGAATCATTAAACTATTGGTATATGATTTAAATTAGTAATTGAGTTCAAAACTATACGTTGATTTGTTCAAAGGTTTGTAGATATTGTTTTGTAACAATAAAAGATATTTTAAACTAAATATATTATTTGAATAGTTATTTGAATAGTGTTGAATAGTTATTTGAATAGTTATCTTCGTGGTATGGATATTTGAATAGTTATCATGACTTTATTGCTAGTTTTCAACAAATTGTTATTAATTCTTATTGCTAGCAGTTTTCTGAACTTATTAATTTTTTTATTAAGAGATAAATATGAGATAGATCAGCGTCATTAGGTAACAAATTCAGAATCATTTTAAATATGAGAGAAATCATGGTAATTAGGTAACAAAATCCAATAATTAGGTAACAAATTGTTGGAGACTATTGAAAGTGTGATTCGTTCAACAAATTTCATATTTATGTGTTAGTTATTAATTATCTACATTAATTAATTATTTAATAATTAATAATCAGAATAATTTATGGAACCTCCAAGATAATTACTTAAAGTAGTAATTGTTACTTAAAAGAGTAAGTCAAAGCCTTATTTTTTAAAGTCAAGCATACTATTTTCTTATTTTTCCAACAACCTCTTTATATTACTATAGATAGATTTTAATT